GTATTTGATTTGTCTTATTTATTTATTTTTGTAACCGTTTGTATTGGACACTGAACATGTACATATAACCTCTTAAGAGAATTGTTTGTATTAGTATACCATGATGAATCCATCATTTCATTATAATCTTTGTCTATTTGTCATTTGTAAAAATAGAACTATAACTTGGTTAGCACAATATTTTGTAAATTATACTTAAATATTATTGTCTGAAAAAAAAAAATAAATAGTACTACAGGTATTTAGTGTTTTTAAATATCCATAAGGTACTGTAGATTTTCAAAGTTTATAGCAGTGCACATGCACGAGCACACACAAATTATGTGTGTATACATGCACATACAGTATACATACATAACATATATTGCTTGTTTTGAAAAAAGAAAAAAAAATCTGTGTGTATATATATATATATAATTTTTTCTATATAAAAATATATTTTCATATATATATTTATGTATTTATATACAAAAATATATATTTATATTTAAAAAATATATATTTATATAAAAATATTTATATACAATATTTTTTATATAAATATATATATTTATAAAAATATATATATATATAAATATGTATAAAATACATATATTTTAAATATATATATATATATATTTTTTTTTTTTCATATATAAATATATATGTACTAGATTAGACAATGCTCACATTTACGTATAACAACAAAATTATAATGACAGTTCTTCCACTTAGTTCAAGTTTAACATGTACCAGAAAAAGCAAAACTAAATAAAACCACACAATCCACTTCATCAGAATTTATACAAACTTCATGTAGGTTATTTCCATAAAGGGAGTTCTCAGACAGAAATCCAGCTAGTGCACATACACACATGCAAATATTGTATGAAATCATACAATATTCTTATTATAGGAGAGGAGCTCCTATGTGTCCTGCTCTCTCTCCTTTATTCTGAGAAGTAGATAAAATCTCTTTTTTTACTATAAATATAAAATTCTTGCAAAAGCTTTATTATGTATTTTATTACATAAATGTTTGCATAGCCAATAAACATGGAACTTCAAAATAAAATATTATTCTATTATCATAAACCATCACAAAATCACGACATTTCAATAAATGTTGCTTGCAACATTAACTTTCATATATATGTTTTGAGTTTATGGGTGTGTATATGTAAAGGAGAGAGAGAGAGAGAGAGAGAGAGAGAGAGAGAGAGTGAGTGAGTGAGTGAGTGAGTGAGTGAGTGAGTGAGTGAGTGAGTGAGTGAGTGAGTGAGTGAGTGAGTGAGTGAGTGAGTGAGTGAGTGAGTGAGTGAGTGAGTGAGTGAGTGAGTGAGTGAGTGAGTGAGTGTGTGTGTGTAGGGTTGAGTATATATATATGTGTTTCTGTGTGTCTGAGTCTGTTTTACTGCAGATAAGTGGCTGTGTATATTGTATGTGGGTGAGTGTACAGTTGTGGGTGTCTATATTGTAGATTTGTGGCTCTGTTTACTCTGTGAGTGTGTGTGTGTGGGGGGGGGGGGGGGGGGGGATGCATGCATACATGCATGTATTTGTGAGTGTAAAGAAAAATAAGAGGAACCATTTCTCATACAAATTAACATAACTTTAGTAATATGTGTAATTAAAGAAATCAGACACCTTTCCACTAATTCAGCAAATAATATACCGAAAGTGTTTTACAATATACATTTCTAACCATTAAATATGTTTGTATTATTATTGCTTCTGTCACTTTTGACTTTTCTGTTTTATGCCCTCGTACATGTTTCATATACATTTATTGAGAATTTCTTTCAGCATATAGAGCAACTAAATGAGTTTTATGTGTTCTTCAAGGTTCTTTGTTTAAAACAAAATATCCAGTAAAAGGAACTGACAATCTTTTCCACTATAACTTTGTATATGTTTAGTACTACCATACATTTAAGAGATGTATAAAGCTTTTCTTTTGAGTGAATCTTTGTGTGTCTTTCCAGATCACAACAGATGTAGAACTGGTTACTAAAAAAATCACGGCAAATATCCTATTGCTTTGTATGGGTTCGCATGTGTTTTGCTATATAAAATTTTTCACGAAACCTTTTTTTACATATATCACACTCGTATTTCTTTTCCCCAGTGTGTATGCTCATGTGTTTACACAGTGTGCTCTTGTGTCTAAATTCCTTGCCACACACATCGCAGGTAAATGGCTTCTCGCCAGTGTGTATTCTATGGTGCCTTTTGCAAGTGCTTATATTTGAAAAGCCAGTTCCACATACATCACATACATAAGGCTTTTCTCCTGTGTGCACCCTCTTGTGCCTTATTAAATCGCCAATGTGTGGAAACTTCTTCTCACATTTATCACAGCCATAGGGCTTCTCCCCTGTGTGTATCCTCATATGCATAACAATATTTTCCTTTCGAGTAAAGTTTTTGCTACAAATATCACAGGTGAAAGTCCTTTCCATCTTACTTCCTGCAACATGGATCTCCTTAGTGCCTTCCACTGCACTGGCGAGGCCCCCAGAACGGTCTTCCTGGGAGTCTGCACGAAACTCCTCTTTATCTTTCACAACCTTCTCAGTTTTCAGCTTATCCTTATTGACCGCAGCAAGTTTTCCCTTAATCTGCAGTGACTCCTCCTTACCCATTTTGGAAAGCCCAGCCTTCTTCCTAACATTCAAAACATCTTTTCCTCTATATCCAACATGGTGTTTTTTCTTTGGTCCAACGAGGCATTTCTTTGTGGAATCTGCAGTGCCCTTGTACTTGATGTTTGGTGAGAGCTTGTCAACCTTCTCAACTTCTTTGATGTCAACTGAATCATCAATCATCTTTCCTGCTGAAAAAGATCATGTCAGAATTTAATTCAATAGCAAACATTCATCTAGTTGAAATTCATGTAAAAGATATAAATATTTTGAATTGGACATTTGGTTGGTCTGTCTAGAAAAAAAGTAAGTTTAGTAGATTACTGTTCAAGGATGGGTTGATTTAAAGAAAAAAGAAAACATTCAATACTTTTCTGGCTACATTTTTTTTCATAAATATACATATACATGTACATATGCATATATAAATAAATGTGTGTGTGTGTGTGTGTGTGTGTGTGTGTGTGTGTGTGTGTGTGTGTGTGTGTGTGTGTGTGTGTGTGTGTGTAAATATACAATATATATAGATATAAATATACATACATACATACATACATATATATATATATATATATATATATATATATATATATATATATATATATATATATATATATATAGGGGTCGGCGGTTCGCACTCCGCCCAGGTGCGAGAAGTTGCAACTGTCACCTGGAGGTTATTGCTGTGGCTAGGCACCACGGCGGGTAAGGACAAAAACCGAGTCAGCACCAGCTGACACACGTTAACAAGTCGGCATTAGTCGACACAGGCCGGGCCCCCTTATGGGCACAGCCGGGCGAGGCTCAGCTTCGCATATCAGACTAATACTTATCCTTTCCTCTTCAGACCTGGGGACAGAATCCAGGTGGATTCCGAAACTGTGGTCTCACTTCAGTAAATCTAGTTTTACATTTTGAGTTTTTCTACCATAGCTTGCTATAATTTTTCCCATATAAATTCTATAATACTGACCTATCCACCCATCCTACGATGCATTTTTCTTATTTTCATAACTTAGCCATATGCTTGATTCTCTGCTAGTTCAGGTAATGACTGAATATTTTAGCTGTTTCATGAAATGGATGGAATTTTTTGCCATTACACGAAATAGCTGGTTATACGCTTTAACTGTAACACACACACACACACACACACACACACACACACACACAC